GTACGCCACGTTCAAATGAAATGCTCAGCCCAGCCCATGCCAGCCGTAGGATACGCTATGTATGTCACTCTCCTAGATTAGAGATCCTGGAAAGCACCTTCCACGATTACATGTATAGATCAAAGCCGCATGAGGGGGAGATAGTGCGTGGAGCAGTAGGAAACCATGTACCAGCTTCATGCCAGCCTGTTGTAAAGTAGGTGCGTCAGGACTCGAGGTTGCACACCTGGACGCGAGTGAATACAGGGGGACCAAAAAAAGACACTTCGGAGGAGTCACATATCAGCAAAGTTTTTGCGCCCAGACAGAGACGTGGATACGAGTACCAGGGCGGAAGATACCCAAGATGTTCCTCGATAAGCAGGAGCTGGCTCTCGCCCATCACCTTCATGTACACCAAAATATGAAGTCATCTCCAGTCGCAGCCTGACTGGAGAAGACCTTTGGAATTCACGTCACCTCCAAACAGCTGCGAAACTTCTTGTATGGAGCCACCCATAGACAGCTGATCGGCACTCTTGATCTGGAAGACCTCCAACATCGAGCAGCTCCGACAACGTCGCTACGGTCTGAGCTATCATCTTCACCCAAGGCACGGGTTGATGGGATGGACCGGAGGTTCCTGGGGAGAGAAAACCGATAGTTCTTTGTTGACACCGGGCTAAACTGAACGCTGACGGTTACATCGAACAGCTCGAGGAGAATATCCTGCCTTCATGTCGTCGCCTGTACCATCTTGGAAACTTCGTACTGCTACAGGATTGGGTGCCACCACATGGAATCGAAGGGCGTTGGAAAAACTTCGCCTACTTGAAATCGAAGGATGTTGAGAACCTGAAGAAGACGGAATATCCAGGTGTGTCACCTGAACCCCCTCAATTATCCGGTTTGGGCGGAACTCAACAAGGTGGTGGCGAAGAAAAGAATGACCTCGCTGAACTCAGGCACCGAATCACGGTCGCGTGGCAGAATCTCTCGATGGCGCTCGTCCAGAAGGCTGTGGCGGAGTATCGTGATAGTGTACAATGTGCTGTTGAATATGGTGGTGGAAATGTCCAATCAGAATTCAATAAAGTGTAACTTATATCGCCTTGAAAGTCGAGGAAGAAAAGTGTCTTTTTGCCTCCCCCTCCTCAGGTCCCAGGTCAGGTCCCCCTCTGTAGTCCCAGAGTTGGCGTTTGTCAGCTATCTCGTTTGGTGCTCTCTCGCCCCTCTTGTCTTCTTCCTCTACCGAAAACCCAGCGAATCTCTCCTTCTTCGTAAGGCTTGAGGCCAATTGGCAGCGAGAGGCCCTGTTAATTTTAGCGTCGGAATAGTCGCGTCTGGTTTGTTTTTTGCATGGCGAATGTATTTGCGAGCATATTTAGTTGTATGTTTACCTCCATCTATAATAAGAAGTGCCGAGCTTGTTTAACTGACGGTTCAACACAGTAGCATATGCGCTGAGAGAATGCGACTTGCATTTTACTTGTACCACAAGCACTGGAGGATGCGGCGGACAAGCCTTGTGTGGCGTATTTTTCATGTATGGCCGATGCGTAACTTCGGGTTGCACGATCCCGTGCCAACAGTCGCCAACCATCCGTCTATCCGCAATCTTCAAGTCTGATATCCGACTGGTATTAAGTTGTGGCTATAATTTATTTACTCTTCCATAGCAATGGAAGATCCCCTACGCAGGCCCTGGTAAAAATTTTAACCTTATTTCAATTTAGCGTATTAGTGTTTGATTGTTAATCGAACAAGCTCACGTGCGGGCTGTAATTTCCAATGCCTGGGAGCGAGTCTGTGGGGGGCAGGTCGTGGCTGGGTTGTTCCTGGTTTGCGGGTGATCCGGAATTTTACGCGTGGCTTAGCCCAATAAGGTAGTTGACCGGGCGAGTGTAGGTTTGTACACGATGATTGGGTAGACCTCGTCTGGGTATAGCGTCTTACAGTACCCGGTGGCTCGGTTTTTTTTAATCCTATTTCTCTGCGAGAGTTTGTGGCGGAATCACGTTTGATCGTTTTCATGGTTTTGTCCTTGCTTTTCATTAAAAAAAGCAGGACTTATTCCGCGAGCTACCTAGCGTCGTTAGGGAGGGGAGGGTGAGGGAATTGGGGAGGACAACTTGGAGTCCTTCGGTGGTGGGTGTGGTTCTCCCGGTCGCTCGTTTCCTCCGTGCCCCCGGACGGCTCACGACTGTCGGCTCAATATTACCGAATCACTGCCACGGTACGGCTCGAGAAACGCACGACTCACAGAAAAGACATTTCTAGCGAGCCTCCGTGGTTTGGGAAAGGGTGAAACAGTGCTGCAAAGGTTTTCCACACTTGCAAAATAATTGTAGGCCCTTCAATACTTCGCCGAGTTCTGGATCACCGTGGTATGCAAATTACCTGATTACCGAGGTTGAGTACTTCTACGGTGCTCACAGAATATCCTACGTGCAGGGGCGCAGCGTTGGGAGCGCAACTCGCAACATGACCTGACTGATTTTGCATAGAAATGCTGCAGTGTGTCGAGTTTATTAGCTAAGAACTTCTCTGCTATTGGATCGGTCCATAAGTAATGGCGTTTTTTTTTCTCATGCGAAATTTTCATATGGAAAATGACATTTGTTCCCAACCCGTTCTACACTATTTGATAGACAATTTTCTGCTCTGTAAGATAGTTTGGGTGCTTCCTACTGTTTCTTGATTACCGTCGATTTTTATTTCATTGAAGTGGAGCGTCGGATCGACACAGATGTGAGTTTTCGACAGCAACTTTTTGCATCTTATCTCGGCTCTCAAATTACAGAAGTTATACACTGTACTTCTCTGCGGACGGTTGGGCGTGTCAGCCAGTATGAGTGTGTCACCCTATCAAAGCCGTTCTCTGCCTTCTTGTTGAAGAGCGTCTGCGAAAAAGTGGTAGAAGACGAGTAATACGAAGGATATGATACAGTATTGTCACTTGCCCGCTTCAACAACTGGTGTAGAACGAGTTTGGCACCGCGCCAAACGCAGCCGCACTGACACGCCCAACCGTCCGCAGCGAACTACACTATACTTTTGATATGTATGATAAAAGAAAGATAAGCAATCAAGAGATGGGAATTCGGACCTTGTAAATGCTGATCGCATACGAAGCCCGTCGGAAGCGACTGCCTGCTGAACCTCCCCACTAACTTCGAACGTCTCAACATTAACTGAGGGTGTTGATTGATAACATCAAGGAAGCATTCCAGCTATTTATCTACCGCCATGAATCTCGGTGTACAAGGTAATTCCAAAGCTCTCAGTTGGACCTAATAGGGCATTACATAGGTGATGCTTGTCTGTGAGGTCGAAATTAAACTCTTCCAATCACTTTGACTACTGCAAGCATTCCTAAGAGACATAGCCCCTTGGGTATATACTTCGCAACTGGGCCTGTGCGGTTTTATCCTTTTATTTAGAGGTGAGGAAGAGGAACTGAAAAGAAAAAATGCTCAACTTTGTAGATCTGACACTCCAGTTTGAGCGCTTAAATATTAGTGCAAACAGAATTCTTGGGAAACTGAGAATTCTTCTTATAGAGCAAGGAATTCTCTGCAAAACGAATATGAAACTCAATGGCAAAACTTTCATCTCTAGCGCGATATTTCGAGTGAGAAAAAACGCCATTACTTATGGGCCAATAATTTTGCGTACTTTCAACTTAGATTTTTTGACATCGGGACTTTCAAACTGCACACTACTTTATGACTGTAGTAAGCGTAGACCTTCCAGCCCAGTTACAGAGAGTTTTGTCGTGCATTCTTTCTCAGTCGCGGTATCGCGCGCGCCAGCAGAGTACTTCCTAGGGTATGTGACAAGACAATCGCGAATTCGTCGCGCCCACAATGGCGAGGTTTCATGGTCGTGGAAGGCGACAATAGCCAGTGTTTAACCACAGTCAATTGTAAATGTCTAATTGTAAGATGCCGTGGTTTACTGAAATTCGCTACTTCAGTCGGCAGGCCACTGCAAATCAAGGAAACGCCACGCCCATCGTCGAGCGCAACGGGCCGGCAAATTACGATTCTCTTGATCGCCATCCGTTTCCTAGCTAGTTGAGAAGACATAGCCATAAAGAGAGTTGGTCGACATGAGAGATGCAGACACAGAGAGTAGAATGGCTCGACGCGCCGCAGCACTTCTACGTTGGGTGGATTTGATCCTAGTGCGAATATTGCGCACGTTATCTCGCTTGCAATGCTATTTCGTAGTATTTTCTGCGACCGGGAAGCAACGCCCCATTCTCCACAGCTACTGACTCACCTTAGACGAGCAGCAGGAAAATTTTCTAGTGGTCATAGTAATCAAAATCTTTTTCCCACTTTTACAGCTAGTTGGACAGGTCGACTTTGTGCAGTACGCTTGCTACCTCGCCTTCTATCCACTACTTCTACTGCAGTTGGTGCTCAACTGTTTCTCCGACCCATCTACGCTTTGCGATAGCAAGGTAACAGCTTTTTGAGTTTCAGAATATTGAATGTTGCCTCAGTGTTGCCTGTTTTATTAAATTCCTCTTCACAAAGGAGCTGGTATAGGGAAGAGACGGAGCTAACCAAGCATGAGGCTGCGTTTATACTTTGCGGCAGCGTAGCTTCCAGCGTACGCCAGCGGCAGTGCCGAGGAGAGGATGCATATCGATCTAGCTTCACCAGTGGCCGTAAGAGACGCGGAATCGATGTGTATTGTAGAGACTGAGGGCGAGTGAGAGACGCGCAATCGATGTGTTTTGTAGCTGGAGAAACGCTAGCGTACGCCAGCGTGCCGCTGGTGACGCTGGTGAAGCTAGATCGATATGCATCCTCTCCCGGCACTGCCGCTGGCGTACGCTGGAAGCGCTACGCTACGCTGCCGCAAAGTATAAACGCAGCCTAAGGTCATGCTACCTCTTTAGCATCTCAAGCCACATTTGACTTTTGCAGCATTTTGAGTACGTGGAAACGCATCCAGAGACGGCTGCTTCATTTCCTAATCGACAGCTTCTTTGGTGGTTTGGACCAATGGTGTCTAAGGCTTACAGGAAGCCTCTCGAAGTACGTTCCGCAAGCATGACAAATAGTTCCTATTTTCGAAAAAAAGAGAGCACTTCTCTTTAAGATCGATGACTTGTTCGAGTTGGACGATGAGCTGAAATCGGATACGCTCATGGCGCAGTGGGAAGTAGAGTGGAATAAGGCACTAAGAGGTATATCGGCTCCCGAAAATTGAGATCCTTACAGAAAGTGTTACCGTATCCCCTTGTTTAGTACACGTCACTTTCTTTTCGGCCTTGATTAGTCAAAATTCATTTAGCTTACGAGAAACGGAAACAGGCCCAATCTGCGCCGTCGAGCGACAAATTCTTCACAGAAAAGTCGCCTCTCTTGCTTGCAAATGGCAAGGATTATGGTACACAAAAGAATGCAAACTATCTAGACGATCGTGAGTCTTGAAATGTCTTCTTTACTGCCGTTTTCAGTCTACTGGCGGAAGCTTCTGCTTAAAGGCACTTTCCGCGATAAAATAAGGCTATGACCTCTTCAAATGTGTCAGACGATCCAGAAGGAGATTGCGGAGGCTGCGCTACCTTTAAAAAGTGAAAACGGCAAGAACTCCGCTGAAAGCTAACCAATTAGGCCCATTGGCACCCCTTAGGCCCATGCCGACCCCCACTGGCTGCTAGCTACTAGCTAGTAGCCACTATATACAGGGGGGGGGGGCAAAAAAAGACATTTCGA